TGCAATTACTGAACTGGAGAACTGCTGAATTTTTTAAAAAAATAATTTTAGAATAGTTTTAAATTTATAAAGTTGAAGAGAATACAGAGTTGGCTGCTGCGTTTTTATGTGGAGAGTGTGGGTGTTGGGAGGGCAATGAGGAAGGATTGTATGCAGTTTCTATTTAACAGAACTTGAACAGGAACTGAAGGTGTGGTAATTGAAAGTGGGAATAGATTGAGATGGAACATCTCATTTCCTATGCCAAGTCCCTTTTGTTCAGAACAAAAGGGACTTGGCATAGGAAATGGGATGTTCAGAGCCTGGCCAGCTCTGCATAACTTGATTGACACAGGGGTGAAGCCCTGTGGCACTACCCTTAGGTGACTGAGTAAAACTCAGATCTCCAGTGGAAGGTATCTCAATTCTACAGTTGAAGGAGACCTCAGAGTTTTTCACCACCAGTAAAACAGAGCAGAAAATTTCTATCCAGGTTCCAGATTTTGACATTATCAAATGCTATGAAACAAACTAATTATTTTCAAAGAAATATATGATAAATTTAATATCATTGGGAACAATAAGATAGCAGAACTTCTAGAAATGAATACAATATTTCATTACAAAATAATGCAGAACACAAGAAATCAATATAGAAATCACACTCTCAGTGTAACCTGAAGTGAGAATTCTTAAACTTCAAGTTGAATAAAATGAGAGAAATCACCAAATCTCAGCATATACTTCCACATGCCACCCCACAACCCCACCACACCGCAAGGGGGGCGAAGGCAGATGGAACAGCCTGCAGGGAAGACAAGATGAATGCCAGCCAAAGCGCATAATGTCCTAACATCTGTCTAAAATCTCTGCCAGACTAAGTCCACCAAGGTCTTAACGGTCTAAAATGTGTGTCTAAACAGGTCAGAGCCCAAAGGACAGGCGAGATTCTTCAAAGTGAGTGTGATTTAAAGGGAATAGGTGTGGTTTAAAGGGGCAATCTTTAGAATACAGCTTCCAGTGAAGGTGATGATAAATGAACAAAGAAAAACACCCTTAGGGATGAAAGAGAGAAACAAAAGAATCCTCCTAATGAAAAAAGAACTACAGAACTAGAGCCCATTCAACCCCTCTCCACCACAAAAACAAACCAACAACCCACCAAAGTACCTGAACTTTGCTCTATGGACAGATCTGTCATGAAAATAACAGATAGAAATATTGATAAGAAACAATTATATGAAGATGATATGATTATGTACATAGAAAACGAAATAATCTACAAATAAACTAGACATAATATGAGAAATTAGTTCTATTTCCAGCTCTAGGAAGACAGGCCTTATCAAGAACAATTAGAAAAGCCAGATTGAAAAACAAAACACTGAAGAAATAGAGAACAACTAAGGTAAGAATGACATAATGAAATCAAGAGCCTAGAGCACAGGAAAGTAAGCAGTGATAGTAAAATGTTTATCTTGAGGCATTTGTTGATTTGTAAGTGCTGGTTGAGAGGTCAAGCAGGAGGCAGAGAACCCAAGGAGTTTTAGGTAGTATCACTGGCTGAAGGAAAATAATAATATCTCAGCACCTATCCCATGTAAGGGGTACTGGTAAGGAGGCTTTCCTTTGGGAAACAAATGGCTACACCCACTCAAAGGGCTAACCCAAAACAGATCAGTTTTAACAAACATGGAATCCCACCTGGCATTAGACTACCTCATGCAGGATTAAGCTGATCTGCCCCTCTTTGAACTGCCTGCAACAAACAGCAGGAAAGAGTCTGGAGGAAGATATCATCCAGAGCCTCAAATTTTATCTATAATATACAGTATCCACTCAAAAGTTAGTCTTATTAAAAACAAGATGAAATGCTGAACGATCAAAGGGGAAAAATAAGAAATAGTTCCATGAGAGGTACAGATTTTTCAGTTATCAAACAGATATTTTAATAATAGTGATGAATAAATTTAAGAAAATAAAAGATGAAAAATGTTAGCAGAGAATTAAAATTTATTAAAAATTTAAAAGGAGAATTTCAGTTCTAGACAAGATGGGATAGAATTATTCCCCCATTCCTCTCATGAAATCCAGCAAAATGTTTATACATTAAGTATATATTCAGAAATGTGGAAAAAAGGCAGACCAGACCAACTAGGAACCTCAGGATCTAAAAAACAAGGTAGAAGTGAGTTCCTGGCTTTTCTCTTTGCGTCATGTATCCTATGATGTGTGCTAGAGAGTCTGGATATCCAAAGATGCTAAAAGGTGCAGACTAGAAAAATCCAAAGGAAAGCTTTTCTCTCCAGGGAAAGACCAAGAAACGAGTAGCCTAGCAAGACAGAATATTGTTAGATGATAATTGTGCTACTCCCTACAAATGCTACAGAACAAACCAAGACCCATTTCAAACCCTGGCCAGCAAAGGATGAGGGGGAGGGGCTAGACAGGCATCCTCACCTTGCAGTAATGAAGTGCCCCCCAACATCCACACATAGTGGTGTCAAAGAAGGCAAAATAGGGGGCTGGGACTTTCACTGCTGCACAGTAATAATGAGGATTCCTGCTGTGATGTCAGTGGGGACCACATGGGAAGCAGTAACAAGGCTCTCTCCATACCTGGGATGTCAATGAAGGCCAAGGGAGCACTTGAACTTCCAGCCCCACCTGGAAGAACCAAAGCAGTTCCCAGCCTCTCCCACTGGCACAGTGTAGGAGGAAATCTGCTAAAATGGAAGATTTAAATAAGATCCAGTCTCATAATACCTAAAACATAGCATATAAAATATAGGATTATATGGGATATAATTAAAAAAAAAACTCATGCCAAAAATCCAGAAAATTTCAACTGAGTAAAAAAACACAATCAATCAACAGACCCCAACATCAAGATGATAGATAGGTTGGAGTTATCCGGCACGGATTTTAAAATAGTATAAAAGTACTCTGAAGCACTAGCCAAGCAACCCAGCTACTTTACTTAGGAGACTGAGGCAGGAGGATTGCAAGTTGGAAACCAGACTCAACAACTTAGTGAAATTGTATCTTAAAAAGTAAAAAGGGGGCTGGGGATGTGGCTCAAGCAGTAGGGCGCTCGCCTGGCTTGTGCGGGACGCTGGGTTCGATTCTCAGCACCACATAAAAATAAAATAAAGATGTTGTGAACACCGAAAACTAAAAAATAAATATTAAAAAAATTCTCTTTCTCTCTCTCTTTAAAATAAATAAATAAATAGAAAGGGCTGGGGATGTGGCTCAATGGTAGAGTTCTTGCCACAGTACTGGGGGAGGGGGGAAGCATTTTAGAGAACAATTATAAACAACTTAGGACCAAAAAAAAATTTTTTTTAAGTCTCACTGACAGGCATGGTTGGCACATTTCTAATAATCTCTGCTATTTCAGAGCCTGAAACAGGATGACTGGTCTGAGCAACTTAGGGAGAGCCTGTCTCAAATTTATTTTTTTGTTTTTTTAAAAGGGCTAGGGATGTAGCTCAGTGATAGAACATACCAGGCCCTGGTTTTGATCCCTAGCAACACATACACACACACTTTCACCAAGGAAACAGTCTTGGCAAAGAAATAAAAGATATAATAAGGAACTGAATGGAAATTTAGATCTGAAAAGTATAATTGAAATAAACTAAGCACATGGACTCAGTAGTAGAATGGAAGGGTCAGAGAAAGACATATTTGTCTGTCAGTGACCTAAAGACAGAATAGTAGATAACCTTCCATCTGAACAACAGAAAGATAGATTGAAAAAAAAAATTAGCAGAATCTCAGGGATTTGTGGGACTTTATCAAGAGATGTAGCAGTTGTGTCATCAGAATCTCAGGGAAAAAAGAGGAGAAAAAGCATGGGGCAGAAAATTTTTGAAGAAATAATTTCTGATATTTTCCTAAGTTGGGCAGAAGATTCGAGAACGTGAACAATCCCAAACCGAAAAACTTCAGGAAATCTACACGGAGACATGATACTCAAGTTTTTTAAACTAAAGAAAAAGAACAATCAAGAATGGAGAGACAAAAGATGGCAAAAGCAATTCAAACGATAGCCAATTTCTCATCAGATGTGGTGGCCAGAAAAATAGGCACATTTTTTTTAATTCAAATACTGTGGGAAAAACGGAAAGAAAGAACTTCAGATTTTATATGAAAGAGAAATCAACATTCTCATTTTTAAAAAATGAATAAATTTATACTCACTGACCTTCTCTTTAAAAAAAAAAATTGGCTGAAGGAAGTTCTTGCAACAGAAAGGAAATCTTAGAAGAGAAGGAATCTTAGAAAAGGAAGGAAGGAAGGAAGGAAGGAGGGAGGGAGGGAGGGAGGGAGGGAAGGAGGTGTGAAATGACTACAATATGGGCAAATAGAGTAGTTTTTTTCTTTCGGATTTTGTATGTTTGACAAAAATGACTGACGTGGTTCTCACTGCACAGGTAGAGGAAATATTAAAGACAATTATAAATGAGAGTGACATCACAAGAGGTAAAATGACTACAACTTCACCAGAACTGGTAAAATATCAACTCCAGTGTTCTGTGATAATTTTTGTATTTATAAAGGGTGGGTTTGGACAATGATTTTAACAGATTGAGAAGTCAGAACGAGAGCATATGGAACCAGCACACACTTTCTAGATTTGCTGGCTGCAAAAGGGAAGAAGGCTGGAACTCCAACTATCCAGACATAGAGGAATGTGGCCAGTGGCAAAAGGCACAGAAGAGACTGGACGATGGAGCACAGGCAGAGGAAGGATGAGGCAGAACCTCTGGCTTCCTAAGAGGCTGGCTGGGAAGGTGAAGGAGTTCTGTCTGAGGATGACTCTCCTCTCAGTCGTGTAGGCACCAGTTGAGAGAAGGGATAAATCAAAATCAGGGAGATGATAAAGATTTGATGCGCCAAAACGGGTCCCAGCATGAGGCGACCTGCATTCCTGGAGCTCAAAAGCCCAAGTTTTCGACTTGCTACTCAAAAGCTGTAAGATAACAAATAGACCCACCAGGTGGCAGTGTTTGTGGATGTTCGAGTATCCCATCGGCCCTGGCGCTCAGGGCGGAAGAAGGGGCAGAGGTGGCTCTCTGGCCCGCATCGCCTCTACTCTCCTATCCCGTCTGACGTTGGACAACAAAGATGGCGGCAGGAACCAGCAATTACTGGGAAGGTGAGGGCGAGGCCTCCGGGTGGGTCCCGCTAGAGGCAGAATGGCTGACTGAGGCTAGATCTTGGGAGAGACAGCAGAAGAAAGAGCCAGGCTTTAGGAGCGGCCGAGCTGAGAAGAGGAATTGCCTAGTGGGAGCCCTGGGGACCGAGGAAACCGAATGATCTGAGGGAGGGGGCTGGCCTGAACCGACCGTGTGAACGAGACCAGGAATTAGGGTTGAGCCGAGTGGACAGAGCGGGGTTGGAGAGAAAGAGGGGCCGGAGTCGCCAGATAGCAATGGGCAAGGGGTAGTGAAGCTCGGACCACGGAGCTTTGGGTTCAAACTCTTGAGTGAAGACAAGTGTTCAGCTAGAAAATCCAGAGCCAAGGGAGACTGGAGTTGTGAGCGTCTTGGAGTTGATGTCACTGTTGGAAAACTCAGTGGGAAAAGAGAAAAGGAGGAACTTAGTCTGGTCCATCCGGGGACTTTTGAGCTGAATATCTCCTGTTGGGTCTAGGTGGCAGGTTCAGGCTGAGATTTCGAGGATTGGGTGTTTGAAGACAGAAAGTAACTTTACCTTCTGTTCTGGAGTCTAGGATTGGTTTTGTTAAAGAGGAAGTTGGGAGAAACTGTGAGTTGTACTTCGCTGTACCTCTTCCAGAAAAAAAAAGAAAAAGAAACTAAAAAAACTTCCTGTGATTGACAAGTGCATTTATTTAATTCCTGAATATATGGTCCAATCAAATGAGGTCCTATAAAATTCATTCCTGGACCATGATGAACAGCAAAGATGGAAGAAGTCTCATCTTTTTCTTTCAACTGCCTCTTTACTTGCTAGAACATAGAAACTACTTTCCAAATCCCTCTTACCCTTTTGAGCTGCGGCCTCTTGCTACCCATTGAAGCCTCTGGAAACCATAGCAATGTCACCGTCAGCAAGTTGATCTAAGAAAATGAATTTTATGTTTGTACATACTTGTCTTGACTTATTTTCAAAGTGCTTTTACTTGATGTTTCTGTTAGAAAAGACAATTACTAAAATTACAAAAGAGCATACTTATAGTTTGAATTGCCCATATGAAATGTGTGTACTAGCTAGAAAATATTTTTAAATTATGTACAAGTGCTTCCTGGTTTCTTTAATACTAGTCATCAGGCTGTGTTTTTTTGAAGCACCATGCTATAATAATGATAACAGCTCATTATTGACAAAATACTGTGGTCCATGGCTTTAAGCTTTTGCTTTTTCTAATGCATAAAAATATCCTGAAGATAGAAGTTTTTAAAAAGATTTATAGATTAAGTAGCTTGCAAATAAATCTTAGTGCCAAGGAGTGACAGCCAAGATTCCAACTGGGATTTTGTCTCTGGGAAAATATGTTCCACCGTCTTACTCTGCTTCCTACTTCTGGTTGCAAAGTATTTGAAATACTGTTTTGTATTCCTTATCACTGAGTCATTCTTATACCATATTTCCTATATTTCAATCATTTTATTTTAATCTTCATGAATAAGAGTACTTCACCATGAGAAGAGTACTCAGATACAGATGTGTGGATTTCCAGATGTAGCTTCTCACACTCAGCCCCTTAAATGCTAAACTACTATACCAATTTCTCTGCTTGTTTGCTTGCTTCTGCTTTTAAAATTTGTGTTTTTTCCCATCATATTCATATTTGACCTTGTTAGTAGCACATGGTTAGTTTCACCTCCTAAATTTTTGAGTAAGTTTATGAAAAGACAATTTACAATTTTTATTAAATACAATATTTTTCTTTATGTTCAATTGCTAAGTATTTTACTATTAAAAAAAGAATTTCATAAGCCTGACAAAGCTTTGGAACATAAAAATTTTGCTAATTCCTGTCAAAAATGGCTTCTTTCTCATATAAAGTTAGCTAGTAAATTGATGTGATCCTGATCATAAAACATTCATTTTCTTTGTGATTTGTAGTCTCTTCTATTTTATTTTATTGCTGTGTTGGGAAATAAACTCAAGGCCTCGTGCATGCTAGGCAAGCACTCCGCTGCTAAGCTACATCCCCAGCCCTGAATTACAGAATTTTAGTTACTGCTGTAGAAATGTTAGGGATGTTTAGAACATTTGTCATCTAGCTGTCTTTGGAATAAAGCTGAATGTTTGCCTCTCCCACTGCTACTTCCCTTTCTGTCCCATCTGAAGTTTAAATTAATGATTAATTTACTTTCTTAGGTAAGTCTTTGGTTTCCTTAACAATTTTCTTTATGGGAAGGAACTGGAAAAGATCAATATATGATCATTATTTATAGTTTGCTTTCTTTAGAATAGTCTTGTGATTTTCATGCTTACTGATAGAATCTTTGTGTCTAATTATTTGCTTTTATAATTTTGTTAAAGATCTCAGGAAACAGGCTCGACAGCTGGAAAATGAACTTGACCTGAAACTAGTTTCCTTCAGTAAACTATGTACGAGTTACAGTCACAGCAGCACACGAGATGGAAGACGCGACAGGTATAGGTACTACCAGATTCTGTCTCTTATGCCTTAAACTATATAATGTTTTTAAGAGAATTTAAAAAAACTAAAATATATAACTTTTATAACCTGCTTATTGGCAAATTATTGATGTTTTATTTTCTTTACCACAATTATTTTATTTTTTAGTGACTTATTACAATTTTTTCTAATTCCTGAAACTTCCATTTATTTGCGATCCTTAGGCAAAGTTTGTTATGGTCTCAGGAGGACACTACTAGAGTTTAAGAATGAGTCTGTATCAAAAATAAGAGTCCCAGGGCTGGAGAAGTAGCTCAATGGCAGAGCACTTACCTAACATGTATTAGGCTCTGGGTTCAGCCCCCGGCACCACAAAAAAACAAAACAAACAAACAAGATGAAAAATAAGAGTTGTGGGGCTGAGAATGTAGCTTGTAGTAGAGTGCTTGCCTAGCATGTGCCTGGCCCTGGGTTTCATCCCCAATACCACCAAAAAAGAGAGAAAGAAAGAGGAGTTCCTAGCTCAACCAGTATACAGAAATATGGCTAATTTGCCTACATGGTATCTTTTGTTTTCTAATTGCTAAAAGGATCTGAGAAAATACTCAAATGCAAACTATACATACTGCTCTTCTGGTGTTTATACTTTTGTAGTAAATCTAGTATAGTGTATCCTCACTATTAATCATCAAAGCTATTTTTGTTTTTGGTACTCTTTTGAGAAACTAGCATATTACTATGTTGAACTTACGGAAAGTATATTCTTTTATTGGAATCTTATGCTCACTTAAAGTCATCTACTTGTTTCACAAAAATACTAGAAAATATCTAAGACACCTAGAAAGGTGTAAAGAATGATGTAAAGGACTCATATGTATCTGTCTCCCATTTTAAGAAATGACCGTAAAGGATTCATCTGAAGCCCCTGGTGGCATCCCATTCTCATATGTATGTGTGTATATCTTACCATATGTGTATTTTTATTACGTGTATTTATATTCTTAGGATATTCATAATATACCTCAATAATTATTTTGCAACTTTTTTGTTTAACATTAACTTTGAGATTCAACTGGATACATTTAACTGGTATTTTCATTTACTCTGTGTAGTACTACACTGAATGACTGTATCAGGGTTTAACATTCAATAGATAGACGTTGTTTCTAAATTTTTGTTGTTGTTGTTTTTGTTTTTGTACGGGGGAATGAACTCAGGGGCACTCTACCACTGAGCCACATCTCCAGCCCTATTTTGTATTTTATTTAGAGACAGGGTTTCACCGAGTTGTTTAGTGTCTCACAATTGTTGAGGCTGGTGTTGAACTCTCAATCCTCCTGCCTCAGCCTCGTGAGGATTATAGGCGTGCACCACTGCACCCAGCTCTAATTTTTGTTAATTAATAATAATTTAAAAAAATTTTTTAGTTGTATGTAGACATAATGCCTTTATTTTTAGTCATTTATTTTTATCTAGTGCTTAGGATCGAACCCAGTGCCTCACCCGTGCTAGGCGAGCTCTACCACGAAGCCACAACCCCAGCCCCCTATAATAATTTTAATAGCTGACAAGAGTGTTCATCATATTTTAAGTACTGTTCTAAGAGCTTTATATAAATACTGGGAGTATTTTCTTTTTTCTTTTTTTAATGTAGAATGTTTCTATATACCCTAGCAATGAAATAGTTGGTGGCAGAGTTATTGTTGATTTACTCTTATTTTCATGCTTTTTTCAAAGATTGGTGGTAGGTGGGATATTTTTCAGTTAAAAAAATACAACAAAAACCTAACTTGAATTTGAACCTATATCTTTCTATCTCTAGAGCCCACTACACTCTAAAATAGCCCACCTACTACATTATGCACATTTCAACTAAAGGCTCATGTTAATGTTGTAGCAAGAGTGTTATTTCTTTTTAGTAAGGGCACCTAGATTGCAAAGGTAGCAATTGACTCTGGGACCTCAAAATAAGTTGGTAGCATGTCACATGCACTTCATTGCAGTGCATTGCTCTGGGCTGACCTTCTTTGCATTTAGCAAATAATGAGAATGAGAAATGTTCTTTTTTTAAAATTTTTTTTTTTAGTTGTTGATAGACTTTTATTTTATTTATTTATATGCAATGCTGAGAATCGAACCCAGTGCCTCACACATGCCAGGCATGTATGCTACCCTGAGCCCCAGACCCAGCCCCAGAAATGTTCTTTTTTATAAGTAAATTTATTATATGGTTGGAAGACATTTTTATGGAATTTAAGCCTCAAATACAGTCCTAAGAATAGTGAATATGAAATAACCAGTAGCAAGTGTACAATTTTAAAACTCGTCTTTGTTTAAAGATACTGTTCGGGGATGGAGTTGTAGCTCAGTGGCAGATCACTTCCTTAGCACATGGGAGGCACTGGTTTCAGTCCTCAGCAACACATTTAAAAAATAAATAAATAAATAAAATAAAGGTATTATGTCCATCTACAACTAAAAAAAAAATTTTTTTAAAGATACTGTATGTTTTATTTGCCATATCCATGCTTTTTCTGTGTTTTCTGTTCTTCTTAAGTATCATACTTTTGTTAACCTCCTTTAAAGGAAAAATTATCCTCAAAACATTCCCAAAGAAATTCTACTACAAATTGGAACTAACTTTGTAGAATTACTTTAGCCTAACTGCCCCTTTAAATAAAAATCCTAAGGTTGTGAGCATCAAAATCTAATGTACATGCTATGTGTCACAATAATTAAACTCAGCAATGTGGAATTTTTCTTGACCATTTCCCTGGACTCAAATACAGTCCTGAGAATAGTGAATATGAAATAACCAGTAGCAAGAGATTGGTGTTATTCGTTCATTCGATGAACAATTTAATGAGCGTCTACCATGTCCAGGAGATAGGCAAAGATATATATATATATATGAATAAGCCAGAGGCAGTTTCTTCCCTAAACCTAACTTTCTGTTTGCCCATTATTCCTTTTTATTTATCTGACAGGGGAGGACCTATATTAATTGTATACAGAGCATTTTTCTTGAGCACATCCTAGGAGATTAAACCTCTTGGCTTGGCTCTGACACATTATAAAGAATTAAAGTCCTGTAAATCCCAGTGGCTTCAGAGGCTGAGGCTAGAGGATTGTGAGTTCAAAACCAGACTCAGCAAAAATCAAGGTGCTAGGCAACTCAGTGAGACTCTGTCTCTAAATAAAATACAAAAAGGCTGGGATGTAGTTCAGTGGTCAAGTGCCCCTGAGTTCAATCCTTGGTACTAACTCAAAAAAAAAAAAAATTAGATATTTTGATATCATGTTTTAGGGCAAATAAATTAGAATTTGCCAAGAAGTAATAAAAACTTTAGACCTAGTTAAACATCTTAAAATTAAAATGCTTATTAACTATTTTCTGTACCTAAGGGAATTTTTGAATGTTGAAATAATGATGTAATCTGTTTTATTTGCCATACCCAAGCACTGTTAGGTAGGACAAAGTCTTCAGTAAGATTGGAGAGCATAGTCAATGCCTGGGCATTTTCTATGTCCAGAGTATTTCCAGTTTGTATTAATCTGCCCATATGGTAAAAATTGGGGACCTAATGAAAGATAGTGATTTTTCAAAAAGAGGCAAAAGAAACTTTCAGGACATGCAATTTTAGATTTTGAGCCTTTCAAACATATATTTCACTTAAAGTTAGATTTTGACTGACTATTCAGATATAAAGAGATAGTTGAATACATTTTTGCAAAATAAAATTAAATGATTGCATGTTACCAGTGGAAATGTAGAGGATTAGTGCATAAATATGCCAGACATGGCATTCTATAGGTTGAAAGCTAGTTCCTGATTATTCAATAGCTAGTTATTCATTCTGGATCATTTAAATCTCAATCTTATTTTTTCTTGGCAAGAGTCAAGAAAATAAGAGACCTCTGGGCATGGGGCACACCCTTGTAATCCCAGCAGTTTGGGAAGCTGAGGCAGGAGAATCTCAAGTTCTAGGCCAGCCTTAGTGACTTCGTGAGGCCCTAAGCAACTTATCAAGACCCTATCTCAAAATAAAAAATAAAAAGAACTATGGATGTGGCTCAGTGATTAAGTACCCCTGGGTTCAATCCCTAGTACAAAAAAGAAAAAAAGAGAGAGAGAACGTAAGGCCTAGGAAACCATAATTTTGGAAGGTAAAAACTTAAAAGATTATTTCTCAAGCCTCATAGCATAATACATTTCAATGATTTCTCTTATAAGAAATTCAACAGTTCTACTGTTTTCTTTCACATAATCAAATTAAAAATTTAATTGGAGAGATGAGGTTGTGGCTCAAGAGGTAGAGTACTTGCCTAGCATGTGTGAGGCACT